GGCTCTAAATAAAATAATTAAGAAGAATTACAGATAATTAAAATAATATAACATTAAATCACGACTTTACATTAATTCTTATTAAAATCCGGTATAAAAAACAAACAAAAACCAAAATAATAGTGTTTATATTATGCTATGTATTAATTATCTTTCAGTAAATATCAAAAGCGACTCCCGTACGACCTTCTGTCAGGCCTGGCTAGCTCCCTGCTGGATGGTACTGTGTTTGAAATCGTCCGCAGTCTACAGGAAGTCCAGCAGTTAGAGGAGAGACATCTACACACACAGCGAGTCAAACTCGTCAATGATCACAAAGGTTAGACACACACACACAGCGAGTCAAACTCGTCAATGATCACAAAGGTACTTGCATAGTAAGCTAAACTCGACAATGATTACAAAGTCAAAGTTTAGACATATGTATACATCAATGATACATGTATCTAACTCCAGGTCAATTACATTACATAAAGATTAGACACATACACACAGCGAGTCAAACATAAACACAGTTGTCAAATTCATTAATTCTAAACAAACTTTAAGGTAAGACACATGTATTTAAACTCATCAATGACCATAGAAATTGGATACCAATTGACAAGTTACTCTAATACTTGAAGTCTTAATATTTTGGAAATTTTTAGCCAGCAAACTGTCATACTGTCTTGGCATGATTCAATTTTTTACCATACTTTTGATGAGGTGACCGTGTACTAATTGTCCGATGAGCTGATGGATCTGGTCATGCATTGTGTAAATACCTCATTGTACAGTTAAAAGGACAGTATAGTCAAAAGGACACTTAATTCAAAAGTTGTTAACCTTTTAAATAAATAATCAGGATTTTTATATTTATTACTCTACGTCTTGTCTCGAAAAAACAAAAGACTCATATTATGTTGTGTAACAGCATATCAGTTATATTTCAACAGTTGAACAACTGTTTAAAAAAGTGGAAATTTATTCAATTCATAAATCAATAAAAACTGATAATTTGCTAATAAAGGATTTTGGATTTTTCGTTACTGACATTTTCCATACTGGCATTTTGGCTTTTCGGCCATCAAGAATGGACTTAAACACAGGGTAAATTCCTGTACACCCTTGATTGAACCTGGATAACTAATATTAAAGAGGGGAAATCTGGTAAAGAATAGCATGGCCAAAATTACTAGGTGAGCTATGTGACCCATGGGCCTCTTGTTTGACAGACACCAAGTTTGTAGTTCTGGTACATTATACCTTATAGAAATAATTCCTATTGATATTAAGGTCACAGTTAAAGGTCAAAAATCAAATTACTCTCCTCCTTTGGATAAAAGACACCAACTTGGAACAAAGACATCTTTTTAGGAGTAAAGTTGCTTTTAGTCGTATTGATAATCAAAGGAATTTAAAGTTGATTCTTTTAATACTGCCACTTCAGTAATATATATTTCTTAAACATTTCTTGTTTTATTTACATTTACAGCACAGAGACATGAGCTGCAAAAGAGACACAAAGAGTTACTACAGAGTTGTCAGATGAAGCCTCACAATTTACCCATAGTGGAGGCTCAGATTGAGAGAGAGAGGGAGGTACATGTATGTCAAATACAAATGAATTCAAAATGTTTAAAAAATTTAACTATATAGCTCATTGGTCTAAAAAGAAAAATAAATGAAAGAGCTGGTACCAGTCATAGATCAAAAAACTATTATATTTATAGTGCACAACAAGTTGCCCCTTATCTGGAATAATATTTAATTAATTCCTACTTGAACTGCTGCAAAGCTTGAATTTCATTAAGTCTTTTAAATACATCTGCATCTTGTCACCCAAAATGACATAAGTCTAAATTTGTTATATGGAATGTTTCCTTCGCGGGTATGTTAAGGAAGCATATAAGTAATTTCTCGGGAAATTTAGACTTTTTGAAGAAAATTTAGTTTAATAAATTACTAAAACCACTGATAAACGTAAACTGTTATTTACTAGTAGATACAGATAAAAGCGTGTCTAACGCAAAGACGTGCATCACCGCCACGGCATCACGTGACTTCTATTAATAGCAGAATTTTCCTTAATATAAAGGCTTACAGAACAACAATACCCCGGAGTTTGATAATTTCTTTGAGTATGTCATATAGCTGAAATACATCTATTTTGTCTAAAAAGTGCTGCTAGAATCCCAATATCTTGTCCGTAAAATATTTATTCCACACATTCGCACGAAACCTCACCCTTTGTTTTCAATTTTATACATATGAATCGAGATTTTTCGTACAACCATGCTAAACTCGGGATTCTAGCAGCACTTTCCAAGTTTGTCAAAACGCAAACTTTCAATCTGTACAAATCGCATGTTTTGAAATATCCAGATTATTGTTGTTCTGTTGCATTTTTTGGTCAAGAATGACGGGCGATAGGACGACCGGGATACGTAATATAGCTGACTGTCCTCGAAAGAGAATATAATCGATGAAAATAAATTAGCATGCTTGTTTAATTAATTGAACTCCATATAAATTTAACACAATATTTCCGATGTGTCCTTTCAAACTCCAGTTTACGTATCTTTGAACATACTGTCTTAGCCAAATTCTCTTTACACGACATGATCAATTTCCAAGTTACTTGATGTACTCATATGACGTCATCGGTGGTAGATTTCAATCATAACTTGATCATCATGACTGTTACAGCATAACAAAATAAAAACATTTTATTTTTGTTAATTTTCACACATTTCTAATCATTTTCTAGAGTTAAATTACATCGCTAAATACCAATATTACGAAAACCCGATTTGTAAAATTGACGTCATCTTGCTTACTATGACGTCATAATGCAGCACTGATTTAGCCAAGGTAGAATATTTTGTATGCTTCCTTATTCCCCCTGCGTTGTGGAAATAGTCAAAGAGTATGTTATAAACAAATGGTTTGGTATATTTTTACATGGCAGTTTCAAGAACACAGAGAAATAAACTGGGATACAGGACAGTTTTTAGGCGCAAAAATTTGTCATTTATTCAGTGGATAGCACTGTAGCTGTCTGATAGATTGTTTTTGCTGACAAGCTCATTTTTTCGACCATAGAACTTACTAAATAATGACATTAAATGAGACTCTTGATATTTTTGCTACATCAACTTGTCTGTCAATTACTTACATCTGTAACAGGAAAGGAGAAAAAGCAGCGGACCAGACCGGGATTCGAACCAGGGCCCCCGGAAACTCCGGTCAGGTGCTCTACTAACTGAGCTATCTGGCCACCGGTGATCGAACCCGGCTGACCGCCACATTCCTCCCTCCTTAAAGGTCTTTTGCCCTCCAAAGACAACAACCCAGGCTCATCCCTGGCAGGTTTTTCACCTGTCAGTTCCAGGGCATGGCACCGCACCAAATGTAAGAGGAAAGGAAAAAAAGCAGCGGACCAGACCTGTATTTGAACCCGGGCCCCCTGAAACTTCGGTCAGGTGCTCTACCAACTGAGCTATCTAGGCTGATATCCACGGCTCGAACCATTACATTCCTCCCTCCTTAATTGGTCTTTGCCCTCGAAGACACAACCCAAGTTCTTATTGCCCCTGGCAAGACTTTCACCTGCAAATCCAGGGGTGGTCAACGGCACCAAATGTAACAGGAAAGGAGAAAATGCAGCAGACCAGCTGACCGCCACACATCAATTTAGAAATTATTCATACGTACAGTATGCTCTTCCATATCGAATCAACCAAGAGATATAAACTCCATATGCAGGTGACAAGGGTAGATTGTTGCAGAAGTAAGGGATTCTGGGAAGTTGATGATTGTAACGTTAAAGTCATCACGTTTATCACAGAGCTTGGTTGTTACATTACCATTGACGTCTTTTTCTAGTAAAATATCTTATTTTTAGACTTTTCCAATTGACAAAGAAATGAAATTGATTGCAGTCAATCTTTCCTGGCCCAGTGGTTCTTGAGAAGAAGATTTTTCCTATATATTCTTATGTAAAACTTTGATCGGCCATTTTGGCCCCCTGCCTACCCCTGGGGGTCAGAATTTTAACTAACTTGAATCTACACTACCTGAGGATGATTCCACATGAGTTTCAAATTTCCTGGCCAAGTGGTTCTTGATAAGAAGATTTTTTAAAAATGCCATTAATTTTTCTCTAATTCATAATTATCTCCCCTTGGAAAAGGGCGTGGCCCTTCATTTGAACAAACTTGAATCCCCTTTACCCAAGGATACTTTGTAGCAAGTTTGGTTGAAATTGGCCCAGTGGTTTTTGAGAAGAAGAAGAAAATGTGATTGCAGTCAATCTTTACTATATTACTATATTTCTGATGTTTATTTCAAATCTTAGTCTGTTTAAATTTAGACTTCAGCATTTTATGATTTCCCTTTTTTCAGACAATGGAGAAGAGGTGTGAAGAAGAGGTGAAGAAGAAGGACATGAAGATTATCATGGAGTTAGATCAGAAGGTGATGGATCAGCAAGTCATGTTGGAAAAGGCGGGAGTACCTGGGTTCTACGTCACCAACAAGAGCATTGACGTCAGACTACAGATGTATCTCCTGGAGTTTATCACCAGAATGGGACACATGCAGCCACCTTGAAAGCAGGGCATTATGTGGTGGTTGTTTTGATTTAACATCAAGAAGTCTTTTTCTTAAATTTAGAATTTAGAAAAGAAAAATTGATGAATTGATTCAAGTTGTTTGCAAGATATAATGAGATTGACCTTTCAGTATGGAATAAAATGGACCCCTGAAAATAGAATTATTAATCTTGTGAACATTATGGCATAGAGGTTTCTTGTTTAGACTATACCACTGTTAAATCACATGCTTTTGTGAAGATAAAATTTCATGGCCCGAAGAAAAATTCTGATTTCGTGAGAAATTGATTCTTTGAATGAAGTAATTTATGTAAAAATACATTTCATGATTGAAATGATTCATGATTTCATGATTCAAGAATTTGCGGTTCTCTTCGTACATTTATCTCAAAAACAATGAAAATTAAACCCCCCCCCCCCCATGAAAAATGAATCTCATCACAGTAAATACAAAGATTTTTTTCTGAACGGGAAATAATGTGCAAGTTTTATGTGCAGGTTTTTATGATCATTGTTTTCACTTTGTGTCACACTTCCTATATTGTGTCCAGTGAAATTATTCTGTTATTATTCATTTATATTTATTCACAGACTAAGCCTTTGTATTTCTTCTACCACACGGAGTACAATAAATGTAAGAAATATTTGTGTAAATTAATACATTTTACTAATAGAATAGTATCTTGTAAATGTTGAATTTACTAGTTGGAGGTAATTCAAGCAAAAACATTGCTATTCTTTTGTAAAATTTGCATTTACCTTCAGCAAAAGAATTCAAAATGAACTACATGATAACTGTAGAAAGTATGAGAAGAAACACACAAGGAAACAAAAAAAATGTTAGAAAATCTTGAGACAATCAACAAACTAATTCTGTAACACAATCATGTATCGATACATGTATTAATATACAATAAAATATACATGTTAATTGTACATGTATAGAAATTCATGTGATATTAAAAAAATATGAGTGCATGTACATTCATAAAATAAAGAATGGAAATTACAGAACCACTGGGGTTTTTTGCAACAAAAAGCTATAATAGCGTAATTGGAATTTCTGTCTGGAATAAAATGTTTGTCACATTATGTATTTTATAATGTATTAAAGATTTTTTGATATCAGTATAATTTTAAATACGTTCAAACATAAATTTTCAAAGACTTGCATGTACACTTCTTCTGAGTCTTTGAAAATTTATGTACATGTACTTTGTTATAATCACATCTATAGAAAAAGACATACCAGTTCGTTATTATAAGCTTAGAGCGGATGAAAACAATTATTTTGTTGAAAAGGTTTCATTTTTCATTTTTTTTGTTATGATGCTAATTGTTTAAATTAAAATATTTTTCATTGAATATATTGTCATGGAAATCAACTCAATTATAAAACATTAGTTATTTTGCATTCGTTTGTTTCAAATAGTTACTCTATCATAATTTGCTTATTCATCGAAGAATTTTTTTTGATAACAAAAAGTTGACAGGATCAGAATAAAAAGCAGATGATATATACTATATTGATAGCAAAAATCAAGTTAAACAAGAGGCCCAGGGGCCACATCCCTCACCTGAGCAATTAGCTAGGAAACAGCACATATCAGATCAGAACTGATAGTTAACGGGGGGGTGGAGTTGAATTTTAACCCCCCAAGGGGTCATGATTTGAACAAACTTAAATCTGCACTACCTGAGGATGATTCACTATAAATATCACTAAGCATGGCTTTGAAGTACTTGAAAAGAAGATTTTAAAAGGTTTTCCTATATATTCCTATGCAAAACTTTTATCGGCCATTTGGCCCCACCCTACCCCCGAGGGTCATGATTTGAACAAACTTGAATCTACACTACCTGGGGATGATTCCACAGGAGTTTCATCCTTCCCGTCTCAATGGTTCTTGAGAAGATTTTTCCTATATATCTATGTAAAACTTTGATCGACCATGATTTTAACAAACTTGAATCTACACTACCTGAGGATGATTCTAAATGAGTTTCATCTTTCCTGGCCCAGTGGTTCTTGAGAAGAATATTTTTAAAGATATTTCCTAATATTCCTATGTAAAACTTTGATCGGACATTTTAGCTCCACCCTACCCCCGGGGTCATGATTTTAACAAACTTGAATCTACACTACCTGGGGATGATTCCACAGGAGTTTCATCCTTCCCGTTTCAATGGTTCTTGAGAAGATTTTTCCTATTTATATCTATGTAAAACTTTGATCGACCATTTTGGCCCCACCCTACCCCCGGGGGTCATAATTTTAACAAACTTGAATTGAATCTACACTACCTGAGGATGATTCCACATGAGTTTCAACTTTCCTGCCTCAGTGGTTCTTGAGAAGAATATTTGTAAAGATTTTTCCTATGTATTCCTATGTAAAACTTTGATCTGCCATTTTGGCCCCACCATACCCCTGGGGGTCATGATTTGGACAAACTTGAATCTACACTACCTGAGGATGATTCCACATGAGTTTCATCTTTCCTGGCCCAGTGGTTCTTGAGAAGAAGATTTTTCCTATATATTCTTATGTAAAACTTTGATCGGCCATTTTGGCCCCCTGCCTACCCCTGGGGGTCAGAATTTTAACTAACTTGAATCTACACTACCTGAGGATGATTCCACATGAGTTTCAAATTTCCTGGCCAAGTGGTTCTTGATAAGAAGATTTTTTTAAAAATGCCATTAATTTTTCTCTAATTCATAATTATCTCCCCTTGGAAAAGGGCGTGGCCCTTCATTTGAAGAGATTTGAATTCCCTTTACCCAAGGATACTTTGTAGCAAGTTTGGTTGAAATTGGCCCAGTGGTTTTTGAGAAGAAGAAGAAAATGTGAAAAGTTTACGACAACGACGACTTCGACGACAACGACAGACAACGGACAAATTTTGATCAGAAAAGCTCACTTGAGCCTTTGGCTTAGGTGAGCTGAAAAAAGATATGTTTATACAAATTAAAGATACATGTAAAAAAAATCTTTTTTAATTACTCAGTGATATTTCTTCAGTATCAATCTCATATCTTCTCAAAAAGAAAGTCAACGAAGGATCAGAGTTAAGTCCTTGGTAATTTTTTTTCTCCATCTTTTCGTGACTACATCAGTTAAAATATATGTACATGCACTATCATTCAATACCAAGTATGGAAAAATAATAGGTTGCTGTGCAAAATGTTCAGAGTAATCCACTTTCTTGATTTCTTTAGATGCTAAGATTGTTGTGAAACAATGGAAGCCGCTTCTTGTACGTTAATCAGTGCCCTAATTAAAAATGATATCAAATAATCATTTTAAAAAAGCATCAGAAATTATTCTTGAAATAATAGAAAAAAAAATTAATTAATACGAGAGGTTAACAAAAAGTTCGTGGACTGAGGCTATAAAATTAGTACTATGTAGTCTGTGGTTTCAAAATTTATGGAACATAAAACAACACAAAATAAAGAATTGTTGAACATTTTAACCTGATACCTTCATTTTTTGACAAATTATTATAAAATGAAAACGACATTATATGATCACCCCGCGCTGTCGTCGTTTATTTTCATGACGTCCGATAACGTCGTTGTTTTTTTCAATGTCCTCTTCTCCTACATCATACACTTTTTTGATGAGATTCCCTGGAGCTGAGTAAGGACTTACACCGCCTTGTTTATATGATTTTACAATGTCATAAACAGTGGCCTCCAATGAATATATAATATTCCAGATGGATCAATATATTGGGAGAGATCCGCGCATGATTGCGCCGGCATATTTTGCTTTTGGGAGTTCAATATAGACAACACATTATCAACGTCATTTTTGACGGGATTGATTTTGCACACCTTGACTGCAAATTGACATTAACTGTGTATCCCTTTACTCTCTGAATCTATTTTGACATTAAAAGACAAGTACTCTGGATGCATATTATTGCCCTGTAGCCAGTTTCAACATATTTTAGGTCTATACTAGTTTTTTCAGGGGCAAAACTCTATAGAATGTTGGAAACGGAAACCCTTCCACCTTTTGACGTAATTTTCAAGGCCTCGTTTGTTTGGACATTCCGTGTAAAGTTTACGATAAAATTTCAAAGAACTTTTAGAATGAAGTGAAAATTTCATATTATATAAAACATTTGTGTCCCGACACATACCTGAATTAACGGGATTTTTGGATGTCAAATGATCATATCAAAAGAGTTTTTCTCAGTTAAACAAAGGTCGAAAAAACGTCGTTTTTGAGGTAGCGCCGCCTGGACATACCATTGCTTACAAAAACATTCCTGATTTATTTAAAAATAAAATTCATGATTTGTGGTTTATTCTTTGGATAGAAAAGATGATGCTTACTAGATATTTCAAAGTTCATTGATGTACCTTAAACGGTTTTAATTTTATGGCGATAGTCCACGAACTTTTTGATAACCCCTCGTAGACGACATTGAGAAAATGAATGCAATAAACTCATATCAATAAATTTTCTCATTGCTTTTTTATTATTTAATTTTTGAACCTTACCGTGTACCAATAATACAACAAATCGTCAAGAACAATTTTGTGTCCCTCATGCTTTGTTTGAGGTACATGAGGAGGGCAAATTCTTTTGTTGGTTGTCAGTTCTGCTACTGTTTTCTCACTTAAGAAACAATCCTCATCCTCCTCAGTGATATTTATTTCCTTACACGGGTATCCAGCTTCATAGAGAACTCGGTGATGGAATGTAGATGTTATTTTATTCATCATCCTCTCAATCTTTGATCTGATCTGTTTGGTTTTGTCATTTGTCAGCTGGATTGCTTTATCCGGAGTAAACACTTGCAACTGAATAGACGTTTTGTTTACTGCAATAGCAATGTTTCGGTCACCACCTTTGTCTTTGAAAAAAGCAACATTTTTGCAGAGTAGGTCATCACGTAATGGTTCCCACAGAGAGAAGCATAAAGCTACAAGTCTAAAGAAAAAGAAATGGGGGATGTACGTTTTGAAAGAAAATACTAAAACAGGGGTTTTGTTGACATTGCCATTAATTGCTCCGAGTTCCGGTAAAAAATCAGTCTTGTTTATGCTAGGGATATAGTACTCAGGTTCAGTTTTGCTTGTCGCCAGCTTTAGGTCACTCTTTTCTTCATCACCTTCCTGTCTGTGCATTATGGCCAGTATGCCGAGTTTTTCCATATACGGTATAATAATACCTTTATGATCTACATATAAAGGCATTTTTTCATTCCATAAATTAACAAGTGTTGAGTCAGTAATTCTCCCGGTGTTCATGAAAATTTTCCATTCCTTTCTTCTTTGGAAGGATACTCTAGCATGAGTTGGATCTGTTATAATATTTGTGAACGCATCGCTAAACCACTGAACATCTACAATGACATTTTCTTTAAGATTCTGTTCAGCAAAGTATATAATCAATCCTATCTCTTTAAAATATCTGAGCATGTCTTCTTTCTCGTTATCACGTAATGATTGAAATTCATAAATATTTTGTATCTCCTGTCTGCTTAGAATTCTCTTCTCTTTGTTTTTCCTAAGAAACAACTCAAACACTGTCCATTTAAGTGGGATTTTTTCACCCCAGTTCTCAAGACTTCTTGCCGTATTGACAATACATTTTCTGACATTTTCTATAATCTCTGCTTGATCTTTGTTCAATTTTTTCTGTGGTGGACATTCAATTTCAAAAAAACGTTCGGGAGAAACGTAACCTTTCAATAGGTGTTCTTCGGACAAAAACTTCTCTAATGCCTCATAGAATTGGATGTGTTCAATTTGTGAACCGGTTGCTTCTAATGTCTGGTACTGAAAAATATAAAGGCCTTAAATATTTTCTCACAGAAGCAACAATTTGTAGGATTAAATTTTCGCGGGTATGTTAAAGGAAGCATATGAGTCATTTCTCGGGAATTTAAGTCTTTTTAAAGAAAATTAAGTTTGATAAATTACCAAAACCGCTGATAAACGTAAACTGTTATTAACATTAATTGCATACAGATAAAAGAGTGTCTAATACAAAGACGTGTACCACCGCCACGACATCAGGTGACTTCTAATAATAGCGAAATTTTCCTTAATAAAAAAGCTAAAAGAACAACAATACCCCGGAGCTTGATAATGTCTTTGATTAAATAATATAGTTGAAAAACATCTATTTTCCCTAAAAAGTGCTGCTAGAATCCCACTGTCCTGTCAGTAAAATAATTATTCCACACATTCGCACGAAACCTTACCCTATGTTTTGAATTTTATACATGTGAACCGAGATTTTTCGTAAAACCACGCTTAACTCTGGATTCTAGCAGCACTTTCTAATTTTGTAAGAAGGCACACTTTCCATCTGTACAAATCTCATGTTTTGAAATATCCAGCTTATTGTTGTTCTGTTGCATTATCAATGTCATGAATGACAGACGAAAGGCCGACCGGGCTATATATAGCTGATTGTCTTCGAAATAGAATGTAATCGTTGAAATTAAATTAGTATACCTGTTTAATTAACTGAACTCCATGTGAATTTCACACAATATTCACGATACTTCTTTTTAAACTCCATTTTTTTCCCTCTCTGTACCTGCTGTGTTAGCTAAATTCTCTTTACACGACATGATCAATTCCCAAGTTACTTGATATACACATATGACGTCATCGGTGGTAGATTTGAATCAAAATGACTGACACAGCAAATCAAAATAAAACATTTTATTTGTGTTTATTGTTTACACGTTTCTATTCATTTTCTTGGGTTAAATTACATCTCTAAATAATAATATTACGAAGACTTGTGTTTTAAAATGACGTCATCTTGTCTACTATGACGTCAATTAATTTAGCACTGATCTAGTCCAGGTAGAATATTTTGTATGCTTCCTTATTACCCCTGCGTTATTTCAATGCTCTCTCTCTCTCGCACGCGCGCGAGCGTTTCGCTCCCTAGATTGTGTCTGGTTGTTACTATACTGATACACAAAATATGTACCTGTATGCAGTCAGAATGAGAGGCGATCAGGATGACTGGGTTGGCCTTTGGGTTTTTGCTGTTTCCATCCTCACAATACGTTTTGATCGTCCGCAGCCAGAACAAGAAGTACTCTTGTAAAGATGAAAAAGATTATACATAAGTGAGGGTTTTGATACCCTGATAACTTATAAGTTAAGGTAGCAGGTTGTATGATTACAAACAATCTTATGCTTTATATTTTGTACATGGGCCATTTTCAAAAAAAGTCCACTTTTTTGTCTTTTGATCAGAAAAATAGGAAAAAAAATTGTTAGAGTGAAAGTTTTTTTCCCGTTGGTTAATATACATGGTCATACAGCTTATAAGTTATTTTATGATCATCTCCCAGGTGTTTTATAAAAAATATTCTATGCATTCCGAGTAAAATTTAACAGTAAAACCATGTCACATTAACAAAAATTTTATAACGTGCTTATTTAAATGATAGGGAAAATATTACCGTGTGAAGATATGTACAAATTTTGCACCTCATATTAATTTAATTTATTTACAGATTAATTTAATATGATTGTTTTACTTATGCCGCCCACTAAATACTAGTATTGTGCATTTAACATTCAGGAAGTGACATGTCCCTCCAGTTTATGCCATTCCTGTTACCAAAAAGAAAATGTTAAAATAAAAGTTATCTCACTTTCCTAGAAACTGTTTTCATGATCCACAATATATCATCATTTTCTGTTGTCTCAAGTTTATGAGCGCCATGATTTGAAAGTGATTTAATAAAGGGTTCAAAGGTCGATACGTTTGTCTTATTGGTAGAGTATAATTAAAATACGTCCTATCTGTTACCTTCTTAATATGCAAGTACTCTTTAAATTGTTTATTCTGCTAAAACAATTAGATTAACTAAGCTACAAAAAAATTGTTTCAATGTCTCGATGATGCAAAAAGAGTACGTTATACTAAATAACGGGTGATTAATATGAGAAACGTCCATCCTGTTACTGTCATTTCTGTTACCATTAATATGGTAACAGTAAGGAAAACTGGACTTCATATCTTGAGTTTTAACAATAAAAACAATTACTTCTATTTTTTCTAAGTAATATAAGTTTAATAACACATGTTAAAAAACTTCGTAAATCATATTGAAATATGTTAGTGCTTCAAATAGTGCCATTACTACTTAAACATGCACTCTTGTAACAGAATGGACAGAAATTGTAACAGGAGGGACAAATTATCCTGGTATTTATATACCGATTTAAGTTTTGTCATTTGTTTTTCTTAAAATTATGAAAAATTCTTAGTTTTGCAACAGCATAGAGTACTTTTAATAAACAAAAATTGAAGTGATTAATATTTTTATAGCACTTTACAATTTACTTTCGTAACAGGATGGACATAAATGTCTTTTATTGTCTCGAATTTGCCAGATTTGACAAAATCATGTTTTTATTCTACATTTATTTCTCTTTTCCTTACCAATAAAGTTTAAAAAAATCAATTTTTATTTCAAATGTAGATTTCATTGTCCATCCTGTTACAGTGCTGCTATCCTATAAGTTGACAATTCTATCCTATCCTATCGTGAATCCTGCATCCACAATCCTATCCTGTGATTTCAGTCTAATCCTATCCTATCCTATCCTGCAACTCTCATTTTTTTAATATTTAGGAATTAATTTGACAAAACGAAAAAAAAGGAATTACCAAGAAAAAAAATCAGACATAGTTATGGTATCCATTTAAATGTTATAAATTTTAACGGGAAAAAAATAATCGAGATCGGCATTCCATAATTCCCGACTCGCCGCACAAATTAAATTTACGATTATCATGTTAAAAATAAATGTTAACAAACAGGTCGTAATTACACGTGGACAAGTACTAATTTTGCGAACATATGTAAAGAAATTGGGCTACCAGAAAAAATAAAGAAAAAAAATATATACTTAGTGTTTTAATTTTCCTACGAACAATGATCGGGAGACCCGGGATCGCGACTTGCGTCCGACGTATTATAATTACAGTGTAATTATTTTTAAAAATCATAGGCCTGTACGGTAAAAATGTTTAAGTATATGTTTTATGTAAAATTTTATTTTTTTCTAAACTGAGCACCATGAAAATAACATGCATGTACATGTATCTATAGTCTAACTGTGCCTGCATAACAGGTTTTTCTGTATGCAATTCTCAAAAAGAAGATCTGACTAGACCATAAACCAAACAGACAAAGTCAAAATGTAGATCTAGAATATTTTGACTTTCACATATTAAACATTTTAAATGTGAAATTGTCTTATTATATCAAATATTAAATGTATGATTTTTTTATTTAAATTCATAATTTTTTCTTTTTTAAAATTTTAGTTCATCATTTGTCGTATGTGATATTTTTCAAACATGCAAAATATATAGTTGCTAAATAAAATTCAAGATGATCAAAATGTTTTTTTTTTCATTTAACTTCAGTTTCTTCTCAGTTTATTGTCAGCTCAGAGCAGTACAAATGTATTTCAATTTCCTATTTTGTTTTATGTGTGAAAATTTAATAATTTATGTTTAATAGAATATATTTTCTAAATTTGATATTGGTTGACAGATTGACAGCATATAAATATTGCATGTAGTTGAGTGTAACATTGAAAATTTTCACCCCAAGAAAACCATTGTCAACCGAGGCGCAGCTGAGGTTGACAATGGTTTTCGAGGGGTGAAAATTTTTAATGTTACACTCAACTACATGCAATATTTATTATATTATACTGAATGTTTTATACAAATACATATTACAGTGAACTGTGCGCGCATAAATTCCGCGCAGTCACTATTTTTTGTAATACCACCCATCGTCAAGCAAATGAATGTTGACTGTTGCTACGCAGGAGGGCATGGCTTCATTATTCAGCGGGTAGTAGTGCTTTTTATCAAATGTTTCTCAATGAAACAGATTCAAGTAATTTACATGAAAGTATAATATAAATAAATATTGTAGTGAGGTTACACATGTTCCTAAGATCTTATAAAACATGCAAGAGAAATTCATAATTCACAGTATTTATAACTCATTCTTGAGTAAAGCAAGTTTGTATTTGACCTTGGCATTGGATCTTGAATCTTAATCAGTGTCTGATTGAAAAATATTAAAATGCTCCACACATGTTCCTCAGATCTTATAAACATGCATAAGAATTCACAGTATGTATAACACATTCTTGAGTAAACCTTTTATTTGACCTTGACACTTGATCTTAAAATTATCAGTGTTTAAATGAAAAAAAAAACTTTATCAAGTACACAATATTTTTATTCAAGGTGATTCCTCAACAATGTTTAACAATTGAATATTCCATTACCATGAGACAAAGTCATTAAAAGTATCCATGTACAGCATTTATGAATTTTAATTCAAAGAGCACAGATACATGTACATGAACTTTGTTTAAATTTAAGTTTATCAATGTTTTTCTTACCGTAGTATAATGTTTTACATGCATTTAATTTGACTTTCTTATTCGACGCTCAAATTGAAATTCAAATGTCAGAGTTATTGTCAGAGAGATGGTCATAAACTGAACAGTTCCACAAATGTCAACAATGCACAGAAAACATACACTGATCTCCTTAATAAAAGCACCATGATTTCAGTCTTAGGAATCTTTGACACTGGTTTGAACATCTTTCATCATTTACTCTAACAGCATATGGCATGAACTGCATTCTGCTCAGCTGCAAATCTGCAGGGTTTCCTGAAAAAAAATCACATAATTATAGACATGTAGATTGTAAATTTTGTCATACTCATTTCATACACATTTAAAATGTTTTTGATTGTGATTATCTTTCACATTTCATGTACAATTGGCTTTAATTTCACCTTTTTCTCTCAAAAAAATAATGCATTTAGAAATCATGAAAAATAAAATCTTATACTGCAACCTCAGTCATATAAAATTAAGAAAAAAATCTTATTTAAGATAATTAACTTGTACATTATAATTCATTTTATCTTGTCAACTTGCTAACAAGTATGAATACATTTGTTTTAGTGACTTTTCTCTATTTTCTCTTTGTATTTATCTATTTAATGTTTTTTCTTGGTTTTCTTTTTTTTGGTCTTGAAATTTGAATATGTAAAAGAAGAAGAAAATATCTATGTAACAGCAACATGATGACCAGAAAAATTCAACATTTCTTTCAGTTTAACTCTCAAGATTTTTGAAAGAAGAAAATCACTTGTTCCGAGAAACTGCAGACATGTCACCTCAAAGCAGATAATGATGTTTATATAGTTGAATGACCATTTAAAAATACATGATAAAAATAAAATCATACATACTATTTAGATTAAAATCCTTTATACTGTGATGTCGCATGATGATGCATGAGTGCAGGCAAATCCATCACTGTAATGATGAATATTAAAAGATTAACTTATGTTTCATAATTCACAATACATCATACATACATGAACAATATGTAAGTGCACTGCTGAGTGAGCTTATTAAACATTTCAGCAGTAGCATTAGAAATGGTCATGATGATTCTACATTAATTTATTATAAGTTACACTGAATTGAAAGAATCAAGGAAATAATAAGATTAATAAACTGATTAAGGCATAATACATATGACTGTTGTAGTCTTAGAGGAGCTCATTGATAGCTAATTGAATCATATGACTGATTAACGGGGGTATTTGCAAATATTTTATCCCCCCTTCTGTCTACACTACTTCTTTTTTCCGCACCTAATTTTTGTTTATATTAAATAAAATAAAATGTTTATATTTTAAGACACGAGAACATTGTTTTGAGGGATAAATAAGTATAAAAAATGCAAACGTGTACAGTGTACAGTGTTTAGTATACTTACATGAACTCGCACATCATCTATTCAAGTCCGCTGTTGACGGTTCCTGTGGAATTATCCAAACAAACAGAGCATAATTAACAGAAAACATGTTAGATCACTTTTACACAAGTAAGAATCGGTTAAATCATCCAAAAAAGCTGAAGAAATACGGTCTTTCGATGTCTGGACTCTTCGTTGTTTACATTCCCAAATCTTCCGGTGATCGTTCACGGTTAGATCGTACGCCGTGTTACTCGAAGTTTTTAATGTAAATCTGTGTTTTGAGAAAAAAATGTTTTATTTTCTATTGAAATTTTATAAATATTTCTTTTGTAAACATTTTATATCGTATTTCGTTTTTGTAATTTATTCTGAAATATGAATGAACCTTTGCTCGAATCTGATTGGCTGTAGGATACAGGATAGGATAGGATAGGATAGGATTGGATTAACTTCTATATGTTTCTATCGTGAATCCTCAATCCTGAATCCTATCCGATCCCATCGCATGTCAACTTGTGGGATAGCAGCACTGTACACTGTTTTGTCCATCCTGTTACTGTTTTGTCCTTCCTGTTACCCGAGTCCTTACTGTTACCAGTATATTTTCCTAGTTAAAATTGCTTTGGCAGAGCAACTGTTTAAATAACTTTCTGTAACTGTTTATTCTAATCACAAAAATAATGTACAAGAATGTTTTTTTCAACTATAGCATATAAATATTCAGCAATAAGGCTTTTCATGAAGAAAAACCCATAGATTTATCTTCTGTTTGGTATATGGTAGTTTGACATGCTTTTAAACGCTCATATAATATGTTGACGGTGCGACCGTTAGAGCGAGCGCAAACTCTTCTATTGTTTTAATTTAGATCGGGCACGTCAAACCGCACGTGACATTTGGTGCGTCTAGACTCTGACGTCACATGACGTCGTATGTAAGTTACAAATAACAAGAAAAAACTGAACAGTGCTGAAAGTTAATGAAAAAAGTTACGTTTACAATTTATCTTCAATATGTATCCATTAATCCAGGTGAGTAAACTTTTTGTTGAACATCTGCCGTCATTCTCGCGAGAACGCAACTTTGCTAAGTGATGCATTGTGGGTCAAAATTACTGCAGCAAAAAATTCTGAAGAATGAATGTGCAGTAGTCCGAATTTCCTCTTCGCCCAGGCGTTGTCGTTAGAGCTCGCA